AATGGAATGTGAACAATTTACCCTTATAGATTAAATAAGGGATTCAGTTCAGAATTCTCTGTAGGCTACCCAGATCAATATACACCTGAGGAAGGCTAAAGGGTGCAATAGCTGAAACGTGATAAAAACGGATTGAACTACTAAGTCGTAATTGATCTAGTGAGAAAGCTTGCTAACTGTTACACCATGTCTAGGTGCCCAATGATTTTCCAAGCATAGATGTGGCACAAGGCCGAAAGTGGAGTACTCAGTGAGGATCAAACTCACTACTCAGTCGTAATTGATCTAGTGAGACAAGCATACTAACCATTACACCACATCAAAGTGCACACACATATACACACGCTATTAATTGATTGAAGGATATAAGTGACTTACTCAGTGAAATATTGGGAATTTTTGCTTCAAAATAATGTTTCTTTTATTCAAGTCAACTTTCAGTTTAATCCCCTAATGTCTACTGTCCCATTTTTGGGATGGTGAGCATTAATAGGTTATGTGTAGAAACTTATATTTTTTTTTTTTTTTTTATAAATTAATGAGATTTTTAAAAACTTTTATTTATAGACCTATAATTAACACTGGACTTTTCTTATAAGCTTATAATACTGTATTTTTTCTTTCTTTTATAAATCTATAATTAAAACATTTTTTTAAGCCTATGATTAATTACTTTAGCATTCATAATTAATATTGGATTTTTAATGAGAATTAATGGGTTAATATATTGAAGTCTTTTGAAAATTTTGTACATTTGTTTATATCTGTTAATTTGAAATTAAATTTACATGAGTTGTAATAACTAATGAATTTCTAATATAAAGTGTTATTGATTTTTGACTAATCTTCTATTTTATTTCTGTTGCATTTTATTGCAACTCTTAGATTCTTACTGTAGAAGAGTCAATTAAGCAACTTAGATTGAAAATGAAGAATGAATGTGTTAAGAGATATAAAATTAAATAGAAAAATAAGATCAAAGAAAGACTAGTCAAAAGTCAAAGATAGAAATTATTTAAAATAGTAATTCATCTGGGAATTTAACTATATTGTTGACATGGAAAAAAAAAAAAATAATAATCCCTTACTATAAAGCTAATTTACATTAAGCAGAAAAAAGGCCTAGACACAAGCATCTATCTTTTAAAATTTGGATTTTTTAATGTAACTATAACAACAAAAATATTTCGATTTCATTTTTGCCTTGAAAAAGTCGGAAGATGAAATGTGTTTGCAAAATCTAAGATTTTTTTCCAATTGTCTTTTTATACCAATCTGTCTTGTCCACAGAATTCATCTGGGAATTTAACTAATGTTTTTAGCTAATGCTATGGAGACATCTTTTAATTTTATAAATAAAGATATAAACTTGGTTTTAAACAGAATTAAAGAAAAAATCTTTTTTGTTTCAGTATTGAGAAAAACCTGTTGTCACAGATCATTTAATTAGCTCAATACTCTACTTGTCTACAAAATTTTCATTGATAGAAAAGTTGGTAATTAGTGTTTTAATTGGAACAGGTGTGAAAACTATATAAGTTTTACATCTGAAATTGTTATTCAAAAATCTATTCCCAGGTGTCTAATAGGTCGTAATTGCTGCTAATAAAAAAGAAAAAAATTACCTGCAAGCATATCTTCATGCCAACAAATGTTTTTTTGAATTCATTTAGAATATAAAGAAAATTATTATTTTTTAACCAGTTAAAGTGAAAATGAAGTCTTGAATAGACTGAGATGTGGTCCTGTTAGTGGATGTTAAGAATACTATATATAGAGCATGTAACGAAGTTCTAATAGTAATGGTAATATTAGCCATTTCTTTATAAGGAAACATTTGGCATTCATTGACTAAGCAGCCAGTACGGCTTTTGGTCGAAATTTATAAAATCCTTCTCTTAAAACAACTTTTTAGAAAAACTGGTTTTTCAAGTCCAGCAGCTGTTATCGCTCTTCCCAGTTTTGATGGGGGTTTCCTTTCGAACCTTTTATTTGAAGTAGTATGGAATTGACAAATGAAAAGTTCTCAGCCCAACTTACTAAAATCTAACCGAACATCAAATTTTTTTCTTTCTTTTGAAGGACTTCTTGGTTAGTCAGAGCAATTTTCAGCACTCCTTTGTAAATCTGCATTTTGTATGTAGTTCTGCTATGAAAATCTTTGTTGGCTGGTTAGGTATTTTGACTGATCGTGTGTTTTGTATAGTTGTGTATTTGTAACATTTTTAGGCTTAATATTCCATCTTTTGTTTTTGGTTGGTAAGACTAACACAATTTGAAGTTTGATTTAAACAAGAGAAAAATAATTCTAAATATAGGATTTTCTTTGTAAAATGTTAGTTCAGTGAATAAATTAATTTACTGTCTTTAATATTATAAAGGTGTTGAAAAAGCTAAAAAATAATATATAGGTAAGCAATCTAGTCAGGTCAAATTTAGTTTGACATGGAGTCATAAAATTCAACAATTTATCAACTTCATCTGAGTCTCATATGTAATTAATAAATTTATTTACTCTATCTTCTCTCAGAGTTGTTTGTTCTTAACCTCCGACCTGATTAGACTAAATTTATTGCTGTTTGTTTTTTTTTTATTTCCCTTTTTGTTCTTTATTGCCAAAAACATTAATATTATTTTTACTTTATCAATTAACCACCAACATTAATTATGACATCCACTTCTTGAAATTTACACTTTGTCTTCATTTTATTTTCAGAATACTACAGTAAATAATACTTTCTACATTGTTATGTTCATGTTCTACATTGAAAGTGTGTTAAAACATTTACTATACACATTAGATATTGTGTTAATAGAACTGTCATCCAGTGATAATGCCACCTAAGACTTGAATTATCCTTCGTGTTTATCTCACTTGTAACTTGATTAACCCTGCAATTTTATCTATAAAAAAAACATTTGAACTGGCATTTTGCAAAACTGTTATCATGTGTGTTGCATATTTTGGATGTGGTCCAGACTAAATGGAATTGAATCACATTCTTTTTTTGATAAAAGAACTCCTTTTCCTTTTACAGTTTGCAAAAAAAAAAAAACCAAAATTTTTGTAAAGTGAAATTCTTTTAGTCATTTGTGAATTGAAAAACAACAAACTGCTACATTCAAATCCTTTGACCAGTGCCTTTGGTAAAATTATGCTTTAAGTTTAAATTCATGCTGAAGAGATTGCTTCTTGACTTTAAAGGATTAACATGTTGGAATGTGATGAAGGAAAGTAATTATCTTTTTTGCATATCTACACACACACGTGCATACATATATATGTACTATATCATATGATGTATGCATAATTGTAAAAAAAAAAAAATCACCTTTCAACAAGATAATTTTCTAAATAAGGTCAAAATTAGCTTGAGTCCAGAAAAACAAAATTTTGGAAATTATGACTTGGCTGCTTCAATCTCTTGACCTCTTTCCCATTGAATTAGTAAAAGATGTATTGGATAGGAGAGATAGAAGAGAATATCCAAAGAGTGAGAGTGAGCATTTTTCAGTGCTTGAAGAATGCTTGAAAAGGTCTGCCAACTATTTTTTTCAAAATCTGTTGGAAAGAATGCCAAGAATTTGTAAAGCTGTAATTAAGGCAGCTTGTGGTTTTTATTGATGGAAACAAAATATGATGCTCTTGTATGATATTTTTTTTATAGTCAAGTGCTTATTTTTCTCAAAATAAAAGCAAATGCACTGTAGTTACTGAAATTTTATTTTTTACTTTAAAAAAAAAAAAAAAAATCTCATCTTCAGGTGTTTTATTTTTTTTTATTTTTAAGAAATGCAGGGTGACCCAATCATTTTGCATGTAGTGTATATATGACAAGTTTTATTAAATTTACCTAACAAGATCTTTGTGCATTTATTTTTTGTTGTGTGTGTTTTTTTTGTTTTTTTTCAATTTTGCAATAAGTTGTTACACATCGAATTCAAAATTGTGGATAAACTGTCCAAAGTTCATGTTTTTGTTATGTGAGCAATTTCTAGAGCACATAGTGAGGAAAGAGGGCCTAGAAAAGTTAACACTCACAGAACATTGAAGGCAAGAGGAACAGAGGAAAGCAATGAATAACCTATTTAACAAGCATGTATCGGTACCATATCTGGACCAGAGTAGTAAATGGATATATAGTTTGATCAACGGTGTAGCCAGGGCTAGCAGTACATATGCTAATTTCTTATCTCTTATATGATACAACCCCTTTAAAATTAGCTTGAAAATTAGGTCTTCAAAAGTTTCATATATATACTGTGTGTGTGCACACACACACATACAATCTTAAGACCCCCAAAAAATACCTAATATATTCTATTTCTTCTTTTATATGCCATATTCCTTCAGGATGCAAACGATCATGGCTTTCTACAATTTCCTAACCTTTGTAGCCCTTCATAAATTTTGTCTTTCTACTCTTCCTCTCTCTCCTTGCTCTGCCATACATTTACACAAGATTTTTAAGTAGGCTACTCGTTATTTAAAAAAAAGAAAAAGAAAAAATGAAGAATTCTAGATACATGTCATAAAATAAATTTGAATTAAAATGACAGAAAAGGGAATTTGACAAGTTTAAATTCTCGCTGAGACAAAGGTGAAAAGCATGACTCTGTCTATTCTCCTCTCTTCATCTATGGGTTAAATAGCATGGTAGACTGAACACTCTAGCCTTGATTGACAACCAGTTTAGAATAACAAGTCTGAAATCAAAACCATGGAGTAGACCATTGAAAATCACTCTACTATTTTTTTTTGAAGAACAGTCATGACAATACAGTTTATAGATATAGAAAAAGGAAGTTGTGGAAGACCCTGGAACTTGGAGGAGGAAGAAAAGAGGTAAAATTCTTGCTCATATAGATGTATACAGTTATATATGACACTTGGTAATTTATATTCATATAGAAAATGGGAAAATATCTAATGTGAAGCTTGCATGTGATTCTTTGTATGAAAATATCATTTTTTTTTTTTTTTTTCTTTTTTTTTGCAGGACCAATTGGAGGTGACTGAGGCAGGTACGGCATATAAAGTCCATTCAGAAAGACCCCATTTAGTCAGTTTAGGCAGTGGCCGTTTGTCCACAGCTGTTACATTGCTACCTCTTCATGAAGGTATGTTTTCTGATTTCTCTCTTCTGCTAACCAAAGAAAATTTCTCTTTTTGAAGAATGAAAGCTTTTAAAGTATTTTATCAGTAAGAATACAAAATATGCATTCATTTAAAAAATTTTTTGTATGTGTCATGTAAAGAGGTACTGAAATTGCTCAATCCCAACCTATATATCAAACAAAATCTAACCAAATGAACAGACATCAGAATTCTTATTTTATTTTGATTCTTTTGAATCCTGGTTAGGGCAAGAACTTTTCAAAACTCTCTCTCTCTCTCTCTCTCTATATATATATATATATATATATATATATATATATAAAATTTATTCCAAAATTATAACATAAACATGTTATAAAATCACTTATCAAATGATGGTATTAAATGACATTCAACACCATCATTTGATAAGACACCAGAAGTGTTGAAACAAAATGTCTATTTTTGTAGTGATTTTATAACATGTTTGTTATAATTTTTTAATAAATTATATTTGCTCTACTCTGTATTGAGCACTCTTTTAAGAATAGTATTTTTGGTTATTGAAATTTATTCTGTATACACCAATCCTATACTTGTGTGTGTGTATATATATATATTTTTTTTTTTCTGTTATTTTTTGATACAGTTTATTTAAGTAAATGCTTTGTTTTTAATTAAACAGTATTAATTAATAGAGAACTAATAATTTATAATACTAATTAATACTGTTTAATTAAAAACAGCATTTGCTTAAATAAAATGTATCTATAAAAATAATGTCTAAATGTAGAAAATATATTAAATAATTGCTGGACTTAATCCATTTAAACCAGTTTAATAATCTGAATCATAAGTTCCAAGGAAAATATTGTTACTGATACTGGCCAGTGTAATTATAGGATTCTGACCCATGCCCATTGTCAAGCAAATGTTTAACTAAATCTCTTTATTTTTGTACTATTTCTACAATAGAGAATCCAACAAAAAATTCTATATTGGTAGTACTAAGAATTCTTTCAAGACTAGGTGGCATCAACATATATTGTCCTTTACTAATAATATTTATAGAAATGATACATCACTTTCTAAATATTTTTGGAGTTTGAAAAATATTTAAACTCCCAAGGTTAAATGATTTTAGATTGAACTGTGTTGCACCATATATGGCTTATCATTCTATTTGTAAGATTAGTTTGGATTTGATATAATTTTGTATTAATCTCCTGGTAGTATTAGTAACATCTTGTATGGATGTATTGGTATTTTGTTGGTATTTTTGACATTTTTCATTGATTGGTTATTTTTTATTAATGTCTTATATAAAGAATCTTTAGTCAACAGTTGCATATTAATTTACCAAGTAATTCTATGTTTAAATTATTTACTTTCTTAAGCTATTTATTTATCAACTATAAAAAAAAATTTATGTAGGAAACTCACAAAGCATATAACTTGTCTAGCATTTTAAATTACCACTCCACCTCATTTTTTCTTAGGAAATGGCATTGTCTATTGTGTATAATTTATGTATCCATTAAAATCTGCTCCTGTTTAATGTCTGTGCTGCCATTAATTGCCAATCTACAGGTCATGACCAATTTATAAAAAATAATTTTTTAATTTTTGATTCTTCGCTTAGTTAAGTTTAGGTCATATTTGATTGGTTGATCAGAGTAAAGCCTACAAACATAACTCCCCCAAAATGCAAACAGAAAATACAATGTGGAACCTGGAAGGCAGTTGGCTGTCAATAATGACAAACAACCCACAATTCCTGCAGCCAGGCCATCCCCAAATGTAATGCCCTGTTTGCCTTTGGGTTTTTGTCAGTACATCTGATAGTGGGGGGAGCATTTGGTCTGTGTAGTGCATGGTTTCCCAATACCATCACCTTCGCCTGTAGCATGGAAAAGTTACTCTCATTGCCAAATGATACACAAACACATACACACACATCTATCATTTAATATATATATATATATAAGTGAACATAGAAGTCAACACTCAGAGGCAACAGACTGTTTCATGCTAGACATCATCAGGCCATGTGTGTTGGGTTTTTTTCTTGACTATTTATATATATATGGGACAGTGGTGCATTGTGGGTAGTCCATTCTGATGGTTATTTTGGTGGGAGTAGTTTGTTTATTTATTTGCATTAATTTATTTTACTTGTTTTTTTATTTATTTTTATATATGTATAGGTAGCAACCTTTCTTTAAAACATCTGTTGTTAAATATAGCAGAGAAGAACAATTTAATTAGTTTTTATTTAGTTTTTTTCAGTTTTCCATTTGCTGGGAGTAAGGGAGTACATAATGTCAATTGTCCTAAATTCTTTTGGTCACTTTTTTTTAGCAATTTTCCAAGGAGTTTTGTTTTAGGTGTTGGTAGTTTCTGTTCATGCTTTTATTGTTACTGTTTATTTTTGTGTTTTGAATTGAGTGCATTTGGAACTTGAGTGAGTGTCTGTTTTTTTTATTTTTTATTTTCTAAACTTTTAATACTCCATCCCCACTGTTAAATAAGGTGAGGTTTTATAGAATAATAATTTGAAAGTGAAATTTGCTTGCCAAATTCAAGTTCTGGCCTAGTCTGTTGCATTCACTTCATACTAATATTCTTGGGAAAGGCCCGAATAAATTTCTGCCCCCCTCCAACTATGGTTTTAATAGTAGGGTAGACTGAACTCTCTAATCTTGGACAGGAGCTAGTCAAGGAGAATAATACCTCTGGATTCAAAACAAGAAATCATGGCTATTCATAGATATTAAAAAAAGGAAAATACGTGGAGAGATGTGATTGTCTGTGTCCTAAAAGAAAAAGAAAAGCTAACTTTTATTTCACTAAAATATTTTATGTACTCCTTTTAAAAAAAAAAAATTCAATATCCAACTGCTTTTCACAATTTCATTTTTATATTTTTTGACAGATATTTCATATCAATCATTTATCACCTTCTTAATCAGTGTGACTTTATGAAAGAAAAGTAGATGTGTAACTTTGTTTAGTATATTTTTATTTTTGTAAGCCTTCATAAATTATGGCTTATCTTTTTCTCAGCTCTTATATCTGCTCCTTTCATTGTTGTATTTATTGAAAGCAATGATTTATAGACAATCTGGGTAATTTTTCTGGTTCTTATCTCCTTCCTTTCACTGATTAGTAAATGTTCTTTCACTATCTTATTTCCTTGGCTTTTTAACCAACCCAGACCTAACCAGGCAACCACGCCTCCTTGACCTTATCTGTTCTCCCAAAACACATTTTATTTTGTGACAACTGCTATATACTAGAAGCACAAATCCTCCTTTCACCATAGTTTTATTTTTGATTTGTTTTCTCCTCTATTCAAAAACGCTGTCTACTCAAATGTGGGTAGCCACCAAAACTAACATCTGAAGTAAAAAAATTTCAGATTCAAAAAATAAAATCTATTAATTCTTCAGAAATTGCTTTGTTTCAGATTTGAAACTGAGTAGATATGTTGTTTGAGAAAAATCTGATTTGTTAACCATTAACATTATTTGTTGCATATTTTATATTATTTTATGTTATCTTAATATTAATTCATGGCACTTTTTTTAAACAATTATTTTCATTATGTCACTTTTTCATATAAAAATATATTTGTATAATAAAAATGTAAACAAAACCAAAAACAAGATTGTTCATTTCCCACCGAATAGGTCAACATTTAACCACAAATAACACAAATATTGTTGATTTTATGATGATTGTTCTTATTTGAATATTAATCAGCATTCAAAGAGCTTTCTAAAGATATACAATTTGACAATATTGGGAGATATGAAAATGTTTGCATGTAGTGGAAAATACCAAACTCTGCCATTTTGAACACTTTGACCGAGAGGTGTAAAATAATTATTATTCAATTTGTATTATGAAGCTTTATAAGTGTACTAAATTTTGAAAAAAAAAAAAAAAAAATATCTGTGTTGGTGATAGCCAGACCTTTGTTGATTTGACATGGAATGACTTGTGTGTGTGTGTGTGTGTGTGTGTATGTATATATATATATATATATATATATACTTCCACACATGGACAAATAGGTCCAGATGTAAGCTAATTTAAGTAAACAGTGATTTTTTAAAATTTTTTTAAAGTTTTTCTTAAATTAAAAAAACAAAAAACAAATGTCTATAATTTTAATTATAATCTTAAATAGGGTGACAGTTTCAGGGAATTTTTTGGGACATACTCAGTTCTATTTGATTCATTATTGTCAATATCCACAGGAAGTCTTGCAATGTATCTATAATGGTTAATGAGGTCTTAGAATACATATATGGACTCTTGAATGTACATATATCACTGGTCTGGATAAAGCTCCTGTAGCCCAAAACAATCTCCAATCTTGCCAGAATTATTTAACCACTGCCAGAAGAAGAAATGTTTCTCAAATCTATAGAAGATATCAGCTGTTTGCTCATGTAGGTGAGCATTTATCTCTATCACTGGGTCAGGCTATACTTTAATAAATAGGGAAATGGTGCTTGTAGTTTACATGCTTAAAGATGGAGAACTCCATATCCCCCACCTAAAGATGTGAACATAATCTGGGTTCTGTATTTGCTAGTAAATACTTTTTAACATGTATACATCTTGACATTGCTTCCACTCTTTTATTCAGTAACAATTGTGTCCTTGAGCATGAAAACTGCCAACTTTTCCATTTGACACAATTTACAAAATCTTTCATGCCTGCTTAGCTTTTTACTTCTTACTATGTTCCATTGTAGCATTGGTTGTATGTTCAGTTCAGTTTTAATTTCCCAGATATAACGGGATAAGAGTGGTGCTGTTACGATATTTATTCAGTCTAAATTATGTTAAATGATTGTTACATCTTTTCTTTTAAACATCCCTTGAATTGAGCCACTGCATTCAGGGTAGGGAGTCCAACTTCAACTTTGGCCTGTTACATACATAGATATATAACATAAAAATGGACACTGAGGTCAACAGCTGAAGATTGCATTCAAGCATGGAACAC